TATATATATACTTTACTATACCAGTAGGGCCATAACCTGACCTTGTCACTACTCGACCGAGGTTAGGCTTGGCACTTACTGGGTATCACTGTGGTGTACTCACGCCCTTTCCTGCACATATTTTTCGTGTGCAGATCCAGGTTCTTTTTACCATCCTCGTCCTTAGTTGCAGTCGCTGCTGTTTTCGGAGAACTTCAAGGTACATCTGCCCGCGCCCGCAAATCCTCGGAGTCCCCCTCTATCCCCCTATGTTGATTCTTCTCTTATTTCTATAGACATTGATGTATAGAACAGTTAGAACTTTATAGAAGCTTGTGACTTACGGTGTTCCGGGTCTTGGGAGTGTTATGTATATTTTGAGAGTTGATTATTGTATATGCCGAGCGGCATCTCAATTGCTTATTAAAATATATGTTACTGTTATTTGTTAATTTTCATGTTTTTCATTTTAGTTCCGCAAGTGTTAGGCTTACCTAGTCGTAGAGACTAGGTGCCGTCACGACGATTCACGGAGGGAGAATTTGGGTCGTGACATTCATATACTTGAATGCCTGTGCTTTATTTTAATCTGAGGTGATTTGCAGTATGCTAAAGGATTGAAAAGGCAATTCGAATTTTCATCAGGCAATAAATATATAAACTACTTTATAAAGACTTCTTAAATTTCATTTATAAGTTTGTGCTACTCTCTTTCTAGGCTTCCACTTTTGCACTTGGTTTTCTCATTCTGCTTATTTGTTTAGAAGGAACATGCATTATTTTTATGGCTTCAGTTTCAAGTAGAAGTTCATTTCATTTAGACAATTTTTTTTATTTGATTAAAATAGAAAGAAGTTGTCTTTTCTAGATTCTTATATTTTTTGATAATGGAAATAAAAAGCATCAAGATGGGTGAAGCATGTCAGGAACGACGAATCTTTTTGTGATAAAAAGATTCATTTTGCAAGTTCGTAATTATATTGCACAACAATCTACTCAGCGCTATAAGGGCATTGCTGAGAAAATACTACTCTTTTATTAATTTGGCGCAACAGTTTTCCAGTAAAGGAATGAATTAGAAACAACCCATGTCCATGAACTATGACCCACATTCATTTTCAGCTTCAATGCACTTCTATTTATTAAGTTAAATTGTATTTCACTACAAATATACACGAAGCTTAAAGCTTCTACTGCTAAAAGCTATTTAAGAATTATGAAAATCCATACAAGTTTCTCCCTTCTTTTCCAATGGTTGTTTTTGAAGTACAGTGCTATCTCATTATTTAAGATTCCTCTTTCCTCCCTCTAAATTTTCTACTTCTTTATTGCATGTGAAGATTAGAGTACTTCGATTATTGAACAAGTGAGCCCTTCTTTTATTTTTTTTATACAAAGCCCTTCTCTCAAGGACTAACATGGAACTCTTAGTTTATTGAACTTACCAAGAAGAGTTGGTGAGATTCAAGAGATGAAAATGATAGTTTGTAGAACAGAAGAGCTTCTTGGTAAACAAAGTTTCATCTTTTTGATTCATCTTTGGGACCTTGTTTGGCTTATGCTAAGATTTGGTATCTTTTGATTTGAGTTGGCATTCAATTGGAAGTTGCTTTGGGTTGGATATATCCGTTACATAGAAAACAAACTCATAATTTTGAGCAAGTTAATTCTCTTTAATTTTTGTGGTTGCATATCTTAATGGCTTTTGCAAAACAAATTTTACAAAAATATTTTTATTACGTTGGGCCCGTGCACGGGCATAACTACCTAGTCTATTTTAAATAAGGAAGAAAAAGTCGTAGTAGTTGACGAAATCATTACTTCATGTCGTAACATTTCATCTGTAGCTCTAAGCCCAATCAGAAAAGTGGATTTTCGAAAGGATAGTTGGGAACAGGAATGTTGTGGGTCTGATTGATCGCCGACTAAGAATAGAAACAATGGAGTAGTGAGAACCAATTGTTTTATAAAACTAAAAAAAGTGAAAGACAGTGAAACTGTAAGAACGACTTTACATGAGTCCAGCAACATATGTTGGTGTTTCACCTTTAAAAGTGCCCAACTCTTGCACATAATACTCTCCAGCACATAATACTGGAGTTTCGTACTCCAACATACAATTCTGGGTCTTTACGAATTTTTGAACTCCAATATATTATGATTGAGTTTCACCTATCAACGTTTTGAAGTCCAGCACCAATTATTGGAGTTGTGTCCGTGTTTTAGTGTTGGGAGTATTTTGTCCAAATATTTTTTCATTGTGAAAGGAGCGGCTAAATGCTAATAACTTATTAAATATCAGCTAAACTCTAACAACATCCTAGGAGGGGTTAAAAGTGTAAAAATAGTATGTGCTAGTCAGTTTTCGGATTGGTAACTAAAAAATAGCCAGGGCATTTGCAAAAGTTATTAAAAAATAGCCAGTATTTTATGCGAAGATAAAATCTGAATAAAAATACTCTAATTAGAACACGAAAAGTTCCAGCATAATATGCTGAGTTATGGAGCTCCTGCGTCTAAAGGTCCAGCATATTATGTTAGAACTCCAACATATTATGAAATTTCAGCACATTATGCTGGAATCTCATATGTAAAAAAATCGAACTCCAGTACATGCTGGATTTTTTCTAATTTTTAAAGGTGTTTTTGTTTAAATTTTATTTTTACACAAAAAGTAGCTAAATTTCGATTACTTTTGAAACTGCGACTAATTTTTAATTATCAGCTATAACTCAGGTTATTTATGATTTTTTTTCCCCGTAAAAGTGGTTATTTATCAATATTTCACCGGAATTTTGGCATGGTGTGACAATGTACATACATAATTAGCAGAAAATAGCCCTAGTTATAGATATTGGCATCAAATAGCCAATAAATATATATCACAACAATAATGTGTATATCACAACTTTTCTTCTTCCTTGTGTATATAAACATGTATATTAAAATTTTATTTTCCTTCTTTGTATATCTAAGATATGAAATCATATATATAGTTATTTAACATTTATTGTTGCTAAATCAGTGTATATCACAATTAAAATAATTGTATTATTTATTTATCGCGGTGTATAACATATCGAATGTATATAAAAAATTATTTTCTTTCTTTGTATATCAAAATTTTATTTACTCATATAATTATATTTATTATTTTTATATTTTAGAATTTTATCTAAACTTGTTATATAAAAAAATTATGTTCCTTCTTTGATCAATAAAAAAAAATTGAAGTAAGTTTATTCAAAATGAATTTCACTCTCTTAAAATTAGTTAGGACGATTTGATTCTGATTTAATCTTTAATTGCCGTATCTAACAATGTATATCATAATATACAACATGATATATACACGGGTACACATGATGATATACATAGATATACACCATCTCAAACACACATATTTTCTTTTTAATAATTAAAAAAGAGGGAAGAAGAAGAAAATTGGAGTCTGCCAAAGATATACAAATCAAATAGAACAAAGTAACAATCGGACGAAGACAAGAAGAAAAGTGGATAAAAATAAATCTTTTTACATAATTGTTGTCGTGGCGAGAAGATCTAAACTTCATAGAAAAATGTATTCAACTATTACAATTTCCCAAACATTGTCAAAGGACAATCCAGATTGAAGAAGAAAAATTGCTAGCTTGAAGAACAAGAAGAAAAAAAGAAAAGATTGAAGAAGAAAATTGGAGAAAAAATACGAGGAGAGAGAAGAAAAAATACGGTGAGAGAGAATAAATAAGAAACTAGGGTTATTTAGGATTTGGCTATATAATGTCAATTTTTTAGGGTTAACTTTGCAAAACCTAACATAAGACTAAAATATTGCCAATTTTCTTTATGAGTTGTAATGCCATGCCATTTTCCGTGGGACTTGAGCCCAGTTTTGTTTTAATGGATTGGCCCAACTGATGAAAATACAAAGAAAAAAGAAACGAAAAATCCAATTTTACAGAGAAGCCGCCATGGATGATGAAGCTTTGAACCTGAAGAGCTTCTTGAAATGGGCAACTGAGCTTGGAATCTCATATTCTCCTTCAACTTCTACAACCCCATCACCAGATTCTTGTATGGGATACTCCCTTTTTGTCTCTAGTTTCCCTGAAGCTGGAGGGTAAATTATTTATCACAATTCTATTCTTTTTGATATTGTAGTGGCAGAATTACATATAGATATAGTAGACAGTTTCTTTTAAAGTTTGTATCTTTATGCTAAGCTTGAATCAACTGTAAAAAACAATTAATCAGTGTTATAGTACTTTTCATATGACGAATTGAAACCTCTCTTCTATTGAAGGTTGATTTGTGTATACATGACAAATGAGCTGATGCCTTTCGTCTCGTGTAAGAACACGGCATGTGATGTGTAATGTGGATTAGACACACATGTTCGGGCACTGACGAAAGCATGGTATTTAAGTGGAGAGGGGCATACGCCCATTATCCACGTGTCTCGAACCATGCTCCACTGGCCCTTTGATTAGCATAGCAAGTGATGTGTGGATTAGGGACATGTCACGGGTTTGAACGCTTACAAAAGCTGGTCTTATGGAGAAAGGTAGAGGGGTGGGCCCACCAGATGCGTTTAGAATCGCGTGCCACTGGCCTCGATTAATAAAACACGTGGATTAGGCATATCTCAAGAGTTCAAACACTTGACAAAAGCCTGGTATTTAAGTGGAGAAGGGTAAAGGGACGGACTCATTATCCAACGAGTTTCAAACTGTGCATCAGTGGCCCTCGAAGATTTATCGTTTATAAAGAATGAGTTGATGAATGATCTCTATTGTTGCAGGAGAGGTTTAGCAGCAGCTCGTGATATTAAGAAAGGAGAATTGATTCTTAGAGTTCCAAAGGGAGTGTTAATGACTAGTCAATGTCTTATGAGAAACGATGAGGCATTGTCTATTGCTGTCAAGAAACACCCTTCTCTCTGCTGTACTCAGGTGATTCTTCTTTGTTCTCCACTTAACTGTAAGAATGAGAACTTGCGTTTTGCGTTTTATGGACTAAAGCCAGAAAGTGGTTTTCTTTTTGGAGTTTTTATGTGCTTAACTAGTAATGTGAAGTTAATTCAAACGTGTTGCTGAATGTCTGGTACGTGTTACCTGAATATAAAAGATTATGGAGCTATATATCTATAGTTGGCCTTAAAACAAATTGATATAGCTTTGGGACTTAAAGTTTCTCCATTCTTGTTTACTAAACTACTGCTCTCTGCCCAATTGAAGTGTTCTATTTAGTTTGTGAGATAACATTTTGAAATGAACATTTTAAAGTGAAAAGTGGTGCTCAAAGTGAACTTTTATAATTTTATGTGCTGAAAATGCTTTGGAAAGTGTAGAGAAAAGCTTTGGTTTTTTTAAGAAAGTGAATGTACGTTTGGAACAACTCAACTTACAAACTACTCTGGTATTGAAAGGCCAAGCTTTATGTTGTGTCTGCAGTTTCTTCAAATGTTTGTAATAAACAATTTGCAATCTTTTGCTCATATCTCCACAGTCAGAGTGGTTAACCAGTTACCACTTATCCTGCTCTTTGTGATTTGTTCGGCCAGCAGTGATGGTTTCTTTCAGTCTGATCTTTTTGCTTTCTTAACCTACTTTTGCTGCAGATTTTGGCTGTTGCACTATTAAACGAAGTGAACAAGGGGAAGAGTTCACGGTGGTGGCCCTATCTAAAGCAGTTCCCCCGCAGTTATGACACACTTGCGGATTTTGGAAAGATCGAGATACAAGCATTGCAAGTTTGTACCAATCCCTACAAGTTAAAATGTATTCCAAAGTTGACACCATTAAAAGAGTGAAATATTTCTAATTCTTTTTTTAGATTGATGATGCCATCTGGGCTGCACAAAAGGCTTCTCAGAAGGCTGAAGGGGAGTGGAAAGAAGCTAGTGCGCTTATGCATGAGCTCAAGCTCAAGCCACAGCTCCTGGCTCTTAAAGCTTGGCTATGGGCCTCTGGTTCTGTAAGTATGGAGTTGCCCGTGCTAATTTTTGGAAAACTTTTCCATTTTAAAGTTAAGCGTTTCTGATTATTAAGCCTTAGCTCATTGAAATATTTACATATGCTATGGTTGATCCACGATTCACTCTGACCACTCATCGTCTATCTTGATTCATGATGTACTTGAACATTTGTTGTCTGTCAGCTACTTGTTACTATATGTTCCCTAGTTTTCATGTTATATTCATAGTTTAACATGAAAAAGGTTCTTGCTGAAGATATCCTCGCGCACCATGCACATACCTTGGGACGAAGCTGGCTGTTTTTGCCCTGTGGGAGATTTCTTCAACTACGTAGCACCTGGAGAGGAAACATCTAATTCTGAAGATCAGGTCACTGGAGAGCCATTTTCATTGCAAGAAGACAGTATGCTTAAATCGGTAACTGAATTGGCCGCAGCACATAGGCTAATCGATGCTGGATTTGAGGAAGACGTTTCTTCATACTGCTTCTATGCTAGAAGAAACTACCGGAAAGGAGAACAGGTGATGCTGAAGTTATTCCTCCCTTTCTTATACTTTTTCTTTCTTCGTCTGTATGGCATGGAGTTAATTAACTTATATGGCTCGTTTCGATGAAAAATTTGTGTATGGTGGATGGTCTTTCACTTGATATTCAGAAAATTAGAAACTTCAATGATTAACAGCTCATGTATCGCAATGGAAATCCAGTGTCATTGAAGTTTAAATAGATTAAGACAACTCCATCTTCCTTTGATTTTTGAACGAGTTTGTGCTAGTGCCAGCACCTC